GTGCAGTTGGCGCAGGATAGAGCAGGGTTTAGGGCTGTTGTACATAGGGTCGCTATGAGTCGGAAATGACTCGACGGCACATAACAACAACAACATCCTAACTTCCTTGGAATATTTAAGCACAAGTGTTCAAAAACCAGTGGCCATCAGTCTAACTCATTTGGAATTATTTGAGGACAAGTGTGCTGACAGTGACTTAGATGGAATGTTAGTTATTCTTGTTATTTATTGAGCAAATCTTTGGAGGCCCGTGATAGAAATGATTAACACACTCAGCTGCTAACCAGCATGTTGGAGGTTCGAGTCCATCCGAAGGGACATTAGGAGAAGGGCCTAGTGATCATCTACTTCTGAAAAGTCAGTCATTGAAAATACTTTGGAGCCTGATTTTCTGACACATGTGAGGGCCATGAATCAGACTCAAGCGGAGTGAAGCTAGTTACTCTTATCGGGGCAAGAATGATATTGAATGTGGTGACTTAGAAGGTGTTTTCCAGGTTTCTAATGATTTTTTGAAAATTTGCTTAAAATGAAAGTAATTGCCAGTTCCTCCTTTTGAAAGTGTGTAGTGTCCTTGGCACTAAGTGACATACCTGGGGCGGGGGGGAAGCAACTGCTTCTCACTGATGTACAGTGAGATATTCACATCCAGGCTGTACTTTGTGAAATAGGACTTTGTGTGCTTTGGATGTTGTGTGCATACTGTATTAGAGTCTGGTCCTGGATTTTCCTTTAAGCATCTTGAGTAGGTTTGTGCTTTAGTAATGACCTTCAGTGTGCTCAGAGGGATTCACTTATTCCTCAAGTCATGTCGTTCACAATTTCTCCGTCCTCGACATAGATCACACTTGCATTTTCATAAGCCTTGTGGCTTTCAGTGGAGCTGATCTTTTAGCACCTTGGAAATTCTTTTCCTTTGTTTTGGAGAATCACGCTAAATTGAAAGCAACAGCATTCACTGATTTTGCACCTTAATGTTTTCTAATAGCCTCTGATTTATTTCCAAATCACTTTTTCTTCTTTGCTTCTTACTGTTGTTATCACTGGTGCTATTTTGCTTCATTTGGAAGCCATGAGGCTCTTCACAACGATATTTTCAAAAGAAAATTAAGAAGAGATGTAATGATAAACACATGCAAGAAAGATAATGCTACACAGTGCACACATGATAT